TGCTGTTGACTCGTGCATGACGACGAGTCTGCTGGATCTCTGGATCTGCTGCTATACGGTTACAGCTCTGAGTCCGCACAAGTCTGCTGTGTTTTGCACAGTGAGTCAGGATTTGCGAATCTCTGAGTCTGCTGTTGACTCGTGCCAATATAGCCGCGGGAGCCGGAGGAGGGGCTGCAACGTGTTACTGTTAATCTCTCCCCACTTTTGGCCACACCCCCTAAGTAAAATGTCTTCCCGGCCGCTATGCTCGCGCACATGACGAGTATGGATCTCTGGATCTGCTATGCTATGACGGTTAGGAGCCGTAACTTACGGCTCCTCTGAGTCCCCACGAGTCTGCAGGAAGTTTCACTGATCCGCGTCCCGTCCCCTGAGCCAAACGATAACTTCTGGCAGCTATCCTACTTGCTAAAGGCTAGGCAGATGGAATGGGGTACGTTGTAATGTTATTTTACACGTTATAAGGAGAGTAGCGAGTGACGCAATTTATAGTTTTTTAATTTGTGCGTCACACCAGGTGTAGGACTCAAAGGACTCGGGTTAATGGAGAGGGGAGACTCGTCACGACCAGCTCATTTCTAGGATCCGGGTTAATGATCCGGATGAATCAGGACTCGCCCATCTCTAGAAACTAGTGGCAGGTCTGATGGTGTGTCGCACTCATGCAGCCCGTCACGGCCCAACCTATCGTCCCCTTTCAGAAACATTGTTGTATCAGAAACAATGCGCAATGTGTTTTGCAAGTAATATGGTCTGTATTTACATTAGCAAGCATTGCTGACACTCAGAGCTAATGTTGTACTAGAGAGAATATGTGTAATTAAGCCGGATATTAAAGGTACGTGGCCAGCAGCAGCTCGGGTTACATTTGAAGCTACCGACCCAGAATCAGCACTTTCGTAACAGGTTATAGGTATGAGGCATGCTACAATGGGTGATCTGTTTGATATTTTGAGCAAAGCACCTCAGAGGCATGTTTTGTATAGATATGGCCCTATAATATATTGTTCAAATATAGCATAATACAGGGTTCGTACGGGTGCTTGAAATCCTTGAAAATGCTTGAAATTTGACGTGGTGTTTTCAAGGTTGGGAAAGTGCTTGAATTTTGGGAATGGTGCTTGAAATTGAGATAAAGTGCTTGAAAATGCTTTACTTTTACAATAAATTGCTGTATGACTGAATAGTTCGCTTTTTAGATTAAAAGAAAAGAATTGCTTCGCTTCTACATAAAACAGCTCCGCTGCGGCCTTCCTGCGCTATGCGCGCGACCTGCAAGTGTTTGTGTTACGTGTGACCCGGGCATTCTGATGAGAGTGATAGATGACTGTGTGCCAGGAGGTTGCAGTTTCAGCGAGCGTTGGCTAGCAGAAGACAAATACAAGCCATGGCTAAGACGAGGGTCAAGCCCACGAGTAGCCTCCTGCAAAGTTTGCAAAAATAACGATGCGAGAGTCTGCGCTGACGAGCCACATGAAAGGTACGCCGTAGTAGAGCATTTTAGATTAGGCTAACGTTGCATGTTACGTTTGTTTAAGCTAACGTTAGCGAGCTGAATAGCGATCTCGATTGAGGGATAATAATAATTGCAGGGGACAATCATTTCAGAGGAGCGTAACCTATGTTATGTGCGTTACAGTCGCCATCCTGTGGTGTTCAGAGGATGAAGCACTCACGGCATTTCGTGTTATAGTCACGAAATATAATCTCTTGATTCGACACAGAGCGATTTTGAAAGCAATGTATTTCTACTGGTAGTATGTTTCGTGCCTAAACCAAATGTGACTTGCTCTCTCGAAATCAGTCACATTGACCCGAAGACACATTTTCGTTTGTATTACTGGTCTGGGGGAAGCTCGCGAGTGTGTGTGTGTATTTTTGCGTTTGTGTACCGGGGAAACACTCACAAGAAACACCGGCTGTTGCTTGCTGTGACGTTACATTAGTCCGTTCTCTGCTTGTAATTATGCCGAAGCTTCAAAGTTGTATTTATCATCTGAATTTGCCGAAACAAGTTTAATATTCTGAAAGCCAAGACTTTGTTTATTTGAAAACAGATGAAAACAAACTGTCTTTTATATAAAATTGAAGTATTATACAAGTAAAACTACATTTTGCTTTAATCCCATGTAATTGTAGAATGAACACAGTCTTCCTTTGCAGATGTATAAGTCAGGTGTCTTGAGTAGTCAGCATTACCTACAAATCATTGTACACATTTGTAAATATTATTTTCCACTTGTTACCATTGTGAGTCTATTTCTATGCAGCTCTGCGTGATTTTGTGGCTACAATTCAGACTAATACACTACCAGAGGTGGAAAAAGTACTCGATCTTGTACTTGAGTAAAAGTAGAAGTACCAGAGTGTAGGAATACTCTGTCACAGTAAAAGTCCTGCATTCAAAATGTTCCTCAAGTGAAAGTAGAAAAGTATTCTCATCAAAATATAGTGAAAGTAGCGACAGTAAAAGTAGTCGTTGTGGAGATTGGTCCATTTCAGAATAATATATATGATATGTTTTCTAATGATTGATCTTGAAAGTGTTCTCAAAGCTGGTAAAGGTGCAGCTAGTTTGAATGACTTTGTATACTGCAGGGTAGCTGGTGGATTTACTCCAGGTGGAACTAAAGATTTAACACTTAGATTTCACATCATTCATCCTGATCTGTGAAGTAACTAAATGTATTAAATACATGTAGTGGAGTAGAAGTACACCATGTACCTCTGAACTGTAGTGGAGTAGAAGTACACCATGTACCTCTGAACTGTAGTGGAGTAGAAGTACACCATGTACCTCTGAACTGTAGTGGAGTAGAAGTACACCATGTACCTCTGAACTGTAGAGGAGTAGAAGTACACCATGTACCTCTGAACTGTAGTGGAGTAGAAGTACACCATGTACCTCTGAACTGTAGTGGAGTAGAAGTACACCATGTACCTCTGAACTGTAGTGGAGTAGAAGTACACCATGTACCTCTGAACTGTAGTGGAGTAGAAGTACACCATGTACCTCTGAACTGTAGTGGAGTAGAAGTGCACCATGTACCTCTGAACTGTAGTGGAGTAGAAGTACACCATGTACCTCTGAACTGTAGTGGAGTAGAAGTGCACCATGTACCTCTGAACTGTAGAGGAGTAGAAGTACACCATGTACCTCTGAACTGTAGAGGAGTAGAAGTACACCATGTACCTCTGAACTGTAGTGGAGTAGAAGTGCACCATGTACCTCTGAACTGTAGTGGAGTAGAAGTACACCATGTACCTCTGAACTGTAGTGGAGTAGAAGAACACCATGTACCTCTGAACTGTAGAGGAGTAGAAGTACACCATGTACCTCTGAACTGTAGTGGAGTAGAAGTACACCATGTACCTCTGAACTGTAGAGGAGTAGAAGTACACCATGTACCTCTGAACTGTAGAGGAGTAGAAGTACACCATGTACCTCTGAACTGTAGAGGAGTAGAAGTACACCATGTACCTCTGACTTGTGTTTACTGCCAACCTAAAAGTACCTCAAAAATAGTAATCAATAATGTATTGAAAAGTGATTTGGCTGATTGTTTTATATTGGCTCAGACAGGTTATATGGGACATACAGATGGGTCACTCATTTTGAAATATTAAACTTAGTTTTTTTTTCTTTAATTTTTCATCCTCGTGTAGAAGGCTATCACGAAACACACATTTGGTTGTTTATAGCATAAAGAACATCTGATTTAATGTGAGGTAGGGAAATAATCATTTGAGTATGTGTATATAAATATGTAATTTACAACAGCTGTAAGATGCTTGAAAAGCTGGAAAATGCACCTTGAAAATGCTTGAAAAGTGCTTGAATTTGACTTTGGAAAAGGTGTAAGAACCCTGATAATAGGTGAGCTTTAATTCAGAAAATATTTGTTTGGAAAATGCCATGTTGTACACTCTGAACACTATGCTCCTTTTTGTGTAGTGTGTTCGACAACACACCAGAGTTCTCAGTGTACAGTAGTATTGGAATGATGACCAATTATTTTGCCCCAGAGGTCATCAACGTCTTAATTGAATACATTTTTCACAAGCAACATCCCTTCCACCCATGCTTACACATAAAGGGCATTTTTAAGTGGCCAAATAATCAAAATAATACAAATGTGAAGACCAATTTGTGCAGTTAGGTTTTGTCATCAACACCATTTTGCAACATCTGGAAACACAGAGCCTTCAAATTGGTGAAACGGTCCAAATGTTAAGCTAACATCCACTGCCATTTGAAAAAGCATTTTCTAATTATAGCTATACATCAGACTGCGTCTACTTAAGAGACAAGAAATATATGCCATGTTATAACATGCCGGATGCTTTAATGCGTTATGTTTAGTTATAGACTATTTCTGATTTGAGCTGCGCGAAACATCGGCTTTCTTATTTGGTTCAAACATTCCATAGGCGCAAGCAAAGTTAGCATCTTGGGCATCAGCCAAATGCTAAAAAAAGGTTGCCAAATATAGTCTTACATCTAAGTGAAGGAAACACTGCTCAACTTAACTACGCTTCATTGATCATGCATTGATTGATTGTAACATGAGTTTATTAAGTAATTTACAAACAGGAAGCTAGCTATTTTATGAGCCAGATCAGCCCAGGGATTCTGGAAGATAGCCAAAGTTATCCACTCAAAACGGTGCTTTCTACGTTAGCTACACACTGTTGGCCCTATAGGATTTGTGTAGATGCAAGACATAGGCAGCTTGCCCAACCGTTACATCATTTGGATTTTTCCAGCAAAAAGGGCTCGCTTCTTTTTTATAGAGAAAGTCTGGGAAGGTCTCAATTTGTAGACTCATGCTATGATCCATTCACAGTTTCACAACACATGGAAATTATTCACATTATGTTATTTATTTCACATGGTACCTTTTGAGTCTCCCCCATTTTTAATACTGCACTTTAATTGTTGTTGAAGTTTGTTTTAGTCATCAAATTAAATTGATCTTACTCGTTTCTACTTGCAGGAATGGCTGGATTCTTTGCCATTGTGGCTTGGAGACTGATGAAAATGAAAAATCGTGGCGATACAAAAATGTCAGTTCACCTGATTCACATGCGTGTAGGTGCCCAAAGCTTTGTGGTTGGTGCCATAACCATTGGTATGTATCTTGTTTATGATGATGTATTTGATTTGAGTAGATTTTATTTTGAATTACAAGTGGTTTGGATTAAAACTCTATCCTTAAAAGAAATATAAGTCTGGATTCTGGCATTATGACCAATTTTACTTTTCAATTATACAAGTAGATTGTAAAGGTTAATGTGTAACCTATCCCTGTTGTTTCTTTGTTCTTAGGGGTTCTGTATTCAATGTACAACGATTACATTGTGAAACCCAGAGAAGAACAGAAAGCCTTGAAAGAAAAGTGAACATGGACTCTAAGATGGACATTTGATATCCCTTAATATTACCTCATGTTAAGGTGTGTCGAAGGTTTACTTTTTACAGATGTGATATATTTTGTTTGCACACATCCCGTTTAGCAGCTCACCTCTACTGTAAATTGGTCTATCCAATTGAGTACCTCTAATGCCTATCCTCTAATGCCTCCGTTTCACTGACTCAACTTACTTTTGTTTCCTTTACTCAATTTCAAATTGTACCGCTGAAAGAATCGCCTCATTGCAGGTTGGATACTCCACTGATCGGCATAGCAGAATTGTGTGAATCTGCTGTCAGATCATCAACATGAGATTTTCGGGATCTTTTCTTTTTCCCCCAAATAGAGGAATGTTTGCACTTTGTAAAATGTCTTCAGGTTCAGCCAATTGTTTTAGGGGTTTGAGTGAATTAAATAAAAGCGGTATTACTATTTATTGATGTTATCTTGGCTATTTAAAATAAGGCAGGTTTGAGGTTGTAGTGATGATTTTTGCAAACCAATTAGTGTTCTGGAGTGTTTTAACTCCACCTATTATTTTCAGCTCTTCCAGAAGAAGTGTGTTAAATATCAAAAACAACTAAGTTGGACTAGTTCCAATCTTTATTCCAGACTCAAGGTCCATATCACACAAAAAGACAAAACACACATCAATAAATAAGATAAAAAGCTAAACAGATAAAAACAAACAGATAAAAACATAAAATCAGTCCAATCACTAAGGCTATATTGAAAACAACCACCAATAGGAAATCAGACTTTTCTCTTCTTTTTTTCTTGGTCTTACACCAGCGATTTATCTTTATGTAATTATGCAAGTATTTTTGTCAAATGGAAACTGATTGCACCTTGGTCCACTTTCTTTTCATTTTTTAATGGACATCCGAATGCTTAAGGAGGTATTTAAGGCTTTGCCAACATCTGGTCTCAAACAAGGCCTGTGTTTAGACATTATGTAAACAACAAGGTCACAAAAGGTTTGCGACTCACCCATAGGGACTCACCACAGTATCGGTTAGTCACACATTTATAAACTAATCACACAGAAATTAAAGAAGGAACAAAACAGGAAACAAAACCACAAATATCCTTTGTGTAAATAAAATGTGTGATTTATTTAATAGTTTTTACACAAAATGATTGCGAAGTCCAAGTCTTCTTCTTCTTCACATTTGTCATAATCTTGTGATACACTGTGGTCCAATGTTTCACAAGATTGACAAGTCTTCATGGGACATATGAGACTAGGTTACTTGGGTACATCTTCACACAATTAATGATCATTATATACTGTAGCCTACCTTGGGATATGCTTAAATAGATGCCTTGTTATTTACCAAGTTAAGTTTTAAATGTGTGAAAATATGGAAATATTTATTTTCTGGAAATGCAAATAAAAGTCTTGTAATTCTAAAATGTCTTTGTGTATGTTTTGAAAACTCTCCATATGTGCTTTTTTCACATATATTTGGAATGTTTAAACATATTCATAACAAATGTTTCTTTTTAAATGTTTCTTCTTGTATCTAGGTCATTCTTTCTTGTTTGATACTTCCTGTAAATGGGAAATGTTTAGTCATTGTTTTATTGTTCAACAGTTGGTGTCAAAAAATTCCCTTCACACATTTGAACATTCGCCTACCTCACCCATCAAATGTTAAAACTTCTTTCCTGGACTGATATCTATCAAGCTTTAAAATACTTTCCTGTTGTCCCACCCTAAGATCAACAGGAAATGAAATGCGTCATTTCATGTTGGCAAGAGGCTCTTAAATGCTGTGTCATTGTGACTATGCTCTTCTTGTGAGTATGCTGATGCCAACTGATATGTATCATGTTACACTATATCATTTATTTACAGTTTTTTTTAATCAAAATAATTCCAATTGAGGATTCCATTGCCATTTTTATGTATATGGTCAAAAAACACCAGAGGCCAATATCTTCCATGACAACACAATACATGTGCTTATGTGTGTTTGCATAATAGTGACTGAGACACTTTGTAATGTATGTCGCCCTCCAATGGTCTTTTAGGATATTGCTTGGTAATAATATTAACATGGAGAAACGTAATTTTATGCTATGTTGTTCCCAGAGCTACATTATTGCTCTCGCGAGATCTTGTCCTAACTCTCTAGAGTGCCGTTGCTATGGACACAGTAGCGTCGCAATCAGCGTGGAAGGGTTTTTCCACATTCGCTTCAAAAGGTTGCGAAACAGACTCAAATGTGTTTTAAAAGGACGGTACTTGGACACATACACCACGGGTGAGTTATTTTTCTTAGTTTTTTTCAAATGTAACTGAAGCCTACTTAGTAAGAAGTTTGAAGACACGAATTTGTCATGACATCTGTGTATTCACAGGCACTCATATTATCGTCAACAGAAGCTTGCTAATTGCTCGTTACGAAATCTAGCATAGTGTTTATTTTGCTTAAAGTTGTCAGTTTCGGTCTGTTACGGCTCATGCATTTTCAAATAAAGGTCAGTGTGGTCATCAATAACAACCTCCTGACAGTCATGGACTTTGCACAACAAGAAGGAGGTCTTGTATGTCATTATCTCTGGGAGCTATAAAGATATGATGGTCTCATGTTTGCTGTAATCCTCACAATAATTACCTTTTTGGTATTTATTTAAAGAAGTTCTTGGATTTGGTCAATGGTCAAATATATGCAATGAAACTACCAATTGGCAAGCTCGGAAAATGTGCCTATTTATTATTTGATTAAGTTAAACCAAACATGCCAAATCTATTAACTTCAAATCCAGAGGAATATACATAAAAAACCCATGATATAACTTTAACCAAATGCCCCCACAACTTTTAACTATTTTCCACCTTTATAAGTTGTTCTTATGCTATAAATCATAGATCATGGAGCATGAGGATGAAATGAACGACTTACGGCTTCAGTTCCAAGCGCTACAAAAACAGCAGGAGAAAAGAAAACTGGATCGGACAAAGGAGAAAGAACCAGATAAGCTTAAACCCATTGAAACCCAGGATGATTTGGATCTATCTAAGCAAGGTATTCAGGCAGAGAATGTCGAGCACATGTGAGTCCTGGCTAAAATATAGTTTTGTATGGTACATTTGTATTTGTTATGAAACTTTATTAATTGCACTAAACATATAAATAATACATTCTAATCAACTATTTATTGTTGAAGAATCATGTTTTTATACTTGCATTGAACCACTGTTATCTATTTAGTGTCTATTTTTTCTTAATGACCTCCCTATAGACTACTGCAAGACAAACAACCTTTGCTAGACCAGCTGAGGGAGTTAAAGGATGAAAATGGTCGGCTCTTCAAACTACTGAGTGAGAAAGATTTTGAAATTAAACACCTGAACAAGAAAAGAGAAGAAGAGCGACTGGTATTAGCAGGTAAAACACCAACGCTTTGCACCACAGTATGATGGCAGAGCTTCCTTGTGACTTATCCTCTCCTCCATTTAGGCACGTCGGGCCTGGCAGGGGATATCGCAGCTACCAAGATTGTTGAGCTGTCCAAGAAGAATCGAGAGCTTAATGTTGAAATTGAGCGAGAAAAAATTAAATCTAAGCAAAACAGCAACAGAGTCAAAGTGCTTGAGAAGGAGGTAGCTGAGTTTTCATTGTGACATTTGATTTGCAGATTGATGTCACACAAATCCTTACACCTTTAAATTCAATAATTACTCAGACAAAGATATGTTTTTTTAATTATATTTGTGAAATAATTTGTTACCAAGGGAATAAACAATATATACGTGTCACTTATGCTTCTCCCTATAGCTGCAGGCGGCGTTGGTGTTCTCTCCACCTGGGCAAAAGATTATTACAAAGTCACAGTACAAGACATCAGAAGACTGTGAGGTAAGAATAAATGTGAACAATTCCCACAACGTTTTTATTTGAATGATGGCAACTTATTCTGAATTGTGTGTTATCTGTTCACAAAAGCAGGAACATCCAATGGTGAAATCTCTTCAGGAAAAACTAGCTGCTGCCCAGCTGAAAGCAACTGAGTATCGCAACCAGGTTCAGTCCGCCAAACAGGAGCTGAAAGTAGCTCAGAAGGTAGAATGATGTTATACCTGTAGCTACTCTAATTGAAATGATTAATCAGCATTGACTTCCGTATCTAAAATATGAACTGTACTGTAGGTTTTGACCAGTGAGATTGGAGAGGAGGTCAACTTTCAGCAATTACTGAACAGCCCTGGGAGCTTTAGAGGTCGATCACAGCAAATAATGGCTCTTCAGACAAGGGTAAGCTGAAACTCATAACAATCCACCTCGAAGTCATTCAGCTAGTCACAGAGTTAAAAATACATTGTATAGTCACTATAAAAAAGCAAAAATATAAATCAAACAACCAAACTCAACGTGAACATAACTGGGTGTTGTGCAACAGGTTCGGGACCTGGAGCAGCAGCTGAACCAGTCAACTCAGCAGAGACAGCCAAGCATCGTGAGTTTGGAGGAAGAGCTTTTTGACAAGAAAGTCCTCCAGAAAACCCTTCCTCAAGAGAGGAACCTCAGCTACATCCGCACCATCGAAAAGGAAAAGAGGGAGGCATATGAGGTGTGTATCATGAATTGTAAATGCATTTGAATATGAGTATTTGTTGATGAGACCCTGTTCTTCTTCCAGAGGATCTCAGCGGACTATGAGGCCATCCTGAAGGACCATGAGGATGTGAAGAAAAAGTTGGAAGCCTCTAAAGCCAGGAACAAATCTCTGTGTACCGAAATAAAATGTCTGAAGGTCCAGATCTCCACCCTCCTGGAAAAGGAAAAACATGATAATGAGCTAGTGGATGCCCTGCTGGTAAGGCTATGAGACATGAGAATATATCTATGTTAGTACACTTTATATTATTTCTACACACATTTCAGGTTGTAGCAAATGCTCCATTAAAGGCATCTAATAGTTAACACATCTAATGACTTATTAAGTACACAGTTCAGATTGTGTTACACAGGCACAAACAATCAATAAATCAAACTTTATTTATACAGCCCAAAACCCCACATTCAACATTCGTCTCGGGGGACTTTAAAGTTTGTTCAGAATATGAATATGAACAACCTCTGTCCTTAGACCCTCATATAGGACAAGGAAAAACTTCCAAAGAAACCCCTCTGTTATTGGGAATAATAAATAAATCACATTTACGAGTTAAAATGAGTCACAGACTACAGGAAGAAGGATCTTTTGTGATACGCCTAGCCTGTAAATTGCTCTTAACAATAACCGCCTCTTCTATTTCTGGTAGAAACAGCAGTCTCAGATGCAGGAGGTGCTGAGACAGCTCGGCCAACAGCAAAATGTCCAGAGCCAGGAGACCCCGTTGAGACAACAGCAGAGCAGCGAGCCTTTTCAGCACAACGCTGTCATCCACAGGCTGAGGCAGACCGTGGCTGAGAGAGAGGCCAGAATCAAAGAACTGGAGGACCAAATACAGCAGCTGTCTGTCGAGGTAAAACCACTCAAATGCAAAACTATGGGAATGAAAGACAAACTCAACGTTAATGTATTTCAATTAAATGGAACAAAAATGTAAGATGTCCCTTCAAAACATAGCAATACTTTAAAAAAAAAAATGCATTCATGATATACAATCAATGTTTGCAGCAAGAGAGCGATGAGAGGCAGTCCAAGACAACACTTTGCAGTTCAGGATTTGCGCCTGAAGAGGGAGACATTGACAAAAGAACAACATGTTCAGGGTATGTACAGTAATGAAACGTGTGCTTAATTATCATTGGATATGCATACATCAAATATTATTTGAATGGAATCAGTCAGATCTTTTAATTGAATCTTAAATTATTCTTTTCTGCTAACTGTTACAGTAAGACTTGTTTTTTAAGACATCTTTTACAACAAGTCACTCAGACTGTTTTGATTTTGTTTGATGCCTGTTTTTCAGAGAGTCATTTATTTTTATATTTTTGCAGTTCTGTTTCTAAATTCGGTCATAAACTGGTGTTGCCTGCTGTGGGAAGCAGTATAGAATTCAAGTAAGTGGACACCCTGCTACTCTATTTATAATTTGCTACACAATAAATGTGTTGGACTGAGCAAGTTGTTTTTCAGTGTTGTTTTCAGGGGCCCAAGTTCTTCAAAATGTCCACAATATTCAGCTGATATGAGCGCACTCAGTGTAATGGCTATAAAACCCCCTGTGCTCAGAAGGAGAGACTCCATGAGTCGCTGAGACTTTGTTTGTTTGCGTGTCTATTAAATGATTCACATGAGAAACACTGAACCTCTGAGATTATATTTTCATGTGGCTTGTTTGTGTGCATCAGACATCAAAATGATGCCTCTGATTCACCACCCAAAAATTATTTTAATTTGTGGTTCTTAATACAAGCTCTTTTCAGAGCCATGGATTCTTGATATGGTTTTCTTAGCACTGCAGGTTGTTATGTATTGCTGACTACTTCTCTATTAAACGATTATTTAATGAGTTAGTAAATCTATCAATGAATCTATGTCCATCTAAAGTCTCATTAGTGCATCTCTAAAGTCACCATCGATGAGGGAATGTAATCATTTTAAATACATTTTTAATCAGAGACCTTGCTTAAATATTCCAGAGAAAAAGAGACGAACCAGGAGGAGCGCCGCACGATCCTCGAAAAGCAGGTGGAGTCGACACAAATCGATCCAAAGTAAGGACTGGGCAGTCAGCAAGGGAAAAACTGGTATGCAAAGGTCAGTTACAGTCAGTGTGATGTGACCATTTCAAATAGATTTGACATTTTTCCTCTTTTTTTTAAATTCCCTGACTATGTTATAAGTATTATACCATGTCTATCTTGTTTCTTGCCATCAGAGCTCTGCCCCTAAGAAGCACTTTTCCCCCAGAACCAGTGGGGCAGCAGTCGCCGAGCAACAGGAACTGGTAGATGGTCGGAAAAATTGCTTGTCATTTGTCAACATCTTACTTTAAAAGAAGCAAGATTTTTGTTTTTCCAACTCAAGATTTGCACAAGAGGACAGAAAAAATGATGCCTGGCAAAGGACATATTGTTTATGGACAGTGCTCATTTCAAGCCCTCATGTTTGGGCAGCACAGAGATGTCCATGTTGCTTTTGTTTGTTGTCTCCTGGTTGGTCATTTAGCTGGAGGAAACGCAGGCGCTGAGGGCATCGCTAAAGAGCACTCTCCACCATGACTGGCAGCTCTGCAATGAAGCGATGAGACAAGCCAAGCATGTTTTCCTGCAGGCTCTGTGACAGCCCAGACTAGACACTAACCAGGGGAACTGGCCGGTCCCTGCTCAGCCTCACTTCCAGCTGAGCCCTACCTTCTCCTGTCACATGTGACACACAGCAGTCTGCAGGAAACAGGCTCTCCTCCTCTGCCACAAAAAACATCACACGGATCGAGGTCTTTTCCTCCATTTAAACCTTTCAAGACGGTTTCTGTTGGTTCCTTTGTGCTTTTGGCGATTTGAGTAGCAGAGCTTTCAAGTGTAACCGTGGTGTGACAAGTGTTCCTACTGATTACAGACATTTTTGATTCAGATTTTCTCTGCTTGCAGTCACGTTTCATTGAAACTCTGCATGTGTTTTCCTCTGCGGGTAACCTGAAGTGCATTACATGTATAGAAAGCAACAGTCTGTTTTGTAAGCTATCCGCAATGTCCAATTTAATCAATGGAAGGCAAACCCAATCTTTACCAAATGTTTTGAATATATTGTTTACATTCATGGCTATGACTTTCCTAGAGTTATGAGTTTTTTTTGGCCCCAGATGGTTGTTCATAAATGTGTGACAGGCCAAGCCAAACAGTAAAAACCCCAGTTAAGTTCCCATACATTTCAGTATTACTTTTTAAATATTCCTGCTAATCATTTCTGACTTAAAACCAGATGTGTGGGAATAGTGGTTGAAAATGAATGAGGGCTCAAGCTACACAAACTCCCACTGTAGTCCTCCGTACAGTCCCCAGAGCGTGTCACACGTATGTACAGAATGCACGCCTCGCTCCTCAACCCAAAGGTTGCTTGGACGTGCGCAGCCTGGTGGGACTGCGCTCCACATTCAAACTAACATCCGAGTTATTTTCTTCCGATGTAGCCAAAAGGATTTCAGCAGAAACCCCCCTTCCACCTTTCCTCTCCCTCCACATCACGCTTAATTTAAAACCATGGCTGAGTTAGTGTGCTGCTTCAAATACCGCACTATTTCTTCCAGGACCCTGTGGGAGATTGGCAGGTCCCCATTGGACTGAGCGAGAAAAGTGCCACAAGACAAAAATATCAGAGTTTGGATGTGATGAAGAAAGCCTTTATGCTCAGAGTAACAAAAAACAGCTTGTGTTAAATACCTCCTGGATAGAAGGTGAGGCACGCTTTAATGTAGTAGAGGGAGATGTCATTGTAGGAACAGATGAGATACCATTAGCTTCATGACTGCATGCCTTGCAGGATTGCCTAATACATATAATGTTTTCAAAATGTGCGTGAGAAAAGGTGTTGGTGAAAATACGTGGTCCCTTCCTGCATTCAATTCAAGAGAACATGTTGAACTTAACACATTTTTGTTTAGGCGTGCTTTAAATTGTCTGCAGACAATCTTAGCCATGACTCTCTTGTAAAATAGATTTTTAACTTAAATAATCTAATAATATACAACTTCATAATTCAGTTTTGTAGAGCATGTCCAATATGTTCTCAAACATTTAATACAAAGCTTATATTTGGTGATAGAGAGATATTACAAGCTATTGGATCTGAATTCAAGCTCATTGCCGTTCAATATTAATTTCACTGTTTCATTTCAGTCACAAATTAATGTCACAGATAATGTGGTTGATTACATTTTTTTAATAGTGTCATCACTTTCAAATAAATTACACTTCCCCAAACAATTTTAATATCGTTTTATGTAGCTGTATTACGCAGAAAGGTGTAGATTTATTCCAAAATGCCCAATAACCCACCAAACCAAACACAAACTTATGTAAACACAGCATACGTAAACAGCCTCACCTATTTGTCATTCCAGCTTTGAATGACTCCTTTCTCCATCCTTCTCCTCAGAGGTATTCCCTCGTTCTGGACCAATGCTTCCTGCAGACCATTGACTGCATCCAGAAACTAAAGTAAATAGTGGAGCCGTGAACGCAGAGGTTAAAGTTAGCCATCAGTATATGAGGGTTCTGTGAACTTTACTCAGGCCAGCAAACGGTTTGTGCCTCTATGAGTCCATTCATCTCCTAGTGCTTCTCATTTACATGTAATGGAAAGAAAATAAACAGTGGTGTCCTAATGTGCTCATTTACAGTAAGTAGAAATAAAGTAATGGGCTGTTATCTTTACTAAGCAAGTGGTGAAACACTGATAAGCTCAACAAGTGAAATGTTGATCATAGTGTATGTAAAGCAGGAGTGGAATTGTTGCTGACAATAACTTCTACAATAAAGTATGATGGCGTTTTACTACAATCACCCACAAATGTGTATTTGAAACTCAGTAAGCAACGTTGGCTTTTAAAAAAATGAAGTTTGTATCATGTCAATACAGCATGCTCTTTTTTAGTCTTGATTATCTCAGCAGGATGGCATCACTAGATGGCAGTGTGGTTGGTCATATCCTGCACATCAACCTCTTGTGATGGGTTGTTCTGACAGTCAGTGACTTGTTGACTTGTCCAGTAATAACACTATCTGTAGCCAACAATGCCACTTAAACAATCGCTTTGTACTCTGTTGTACACAGCAATGATGTGCTATTAATACTGTACATTTGAACTGTCATTAGGATTACCTAGTTGCGATTAAATCAATAGATATTAACATGAACATGATCTCACTGCTTCTGAAAGCTATGTTGTGAATTAAAGAGTTGATAATTATGATGTCAAATAATGATACACTAGCAATGTAAAGATAAACACAGCTGTGACATTACTGTAGAATATCTTGCTTCAATTAATCAAACTGACACTTAACACAAGCTGACTATGAAATGTTGACAGCATAGAAAACTGGTATGCATTTTACTATAGCATTCTCTCTGCTGCTTGCAGCTTTCCTCCCTCCACATCGCTGTACTAACCTAGCCGTCACACTTGACTCTGAAATCAAATTGCTTCCTATGTTCTGTCAAATGTTCCGTCTTGGAAATAATCAATTTCTCCAGGAAACACTCAGCCTCACGTCGGATGACTGTCTATACCATGCTATTTGTCTCCAAATCCTACTGTGTAGTTTCCTATTTTGTTTTATTATATTATATAAACACCTTGTATTTTTCTGCGTACAAATCTCTATTTATTCCTGTGTGTTTTCTGCAACAACCAAATGTCCCCAGTAGGGATCAATAAGGGTATCTCACTCTGAGGGAAGAACACATTTGTTTCACAAGTCCCTTAACACATGCTGACACAATGGCTTTGACATTTTGCTCTTGAATACGATCACTGCCATTGGGTTGTTCTGCCTGAGGGAGATGTGTGCATCAGTAGCCTGTTATCAGCCGTGCTCATGCATGAGCGCGGCTGATAACAGGCTACTGATATGTTACCTTTATCTGAGAGTTCACAATGAAGAGAGAGATAGAAATAATTGGGAGAAACCAAAGGGGATGACATGCCAGCCGAGCCACCTCGAACCCCCAGGAGGCTGGCAGAGACATATGTTTGTTGTGTATGCTTTATGAATATGAAAGCTTTGTCTTGACACAATCACATCCAATGCTTCATGGGTCTCATGTCTGCAAAGCCTAATAAACTGGCTTTATTTAGTGCGCTCGGTGAAAGCAGAGAAAAAATGAAGATGCTCAGATATTTCAAGCTTTCAAGAAAATCCCTAATGAGTTACATTATTAAAGCAGAGCGCCACATGTTGTGCTTATTTACGTCAGCTGCTCCATTCTGAATACGCTGTTATCTGTTCCTGCATCTATCTTATATAACTGATTTGTTATTCTGTAAAAACATAGAAAGTGGGACATACTTGTATAACATAACACAAATGTACAGGCCAGCTCTACCACCCTAATGTTCCTGATAACAGGTGTTAATGGCTCCAAACATCTCTCTTCTATCGCACAGAATACAGCTCAACATTTGGCCAGGACGGAAATGTCAAGCACTCACTTACAGGCCTTTTGACTCCCTGTATTACAATAAGACAAGTGAATTGACCTTCAGTGTTTGATACAGATGCAACACATGCTTCTTAACCCATTCTTCACCAACACATCCATTTACTAAGAATACAAAGAGATCTCAATCTGTTTATTTAGTTGCATGTATCTAACTTCATGTGATAGAAGCAAGAGTGCATATTGAAGAATAGTAATGTTGTGTTGGACTGTATTTGCTTGTCTTTTCTGGGTTTCTTCATCAACATTTATTTTATGTCAAATTGGTGAATGTATTTCCTTGTTTTAGAGCAGGTTTTTTTTATTATTGAACGTTTGTGTTTTATCTGTTGGGTGTATTTTCATAATTTGTATTATGTTGAGCTTTTGTACATTTCCCACATAATTATTAATACAGCATTGGTGATGATGATAAAATAATGTATTCTCAATTCTCAATCATTTTCATTTAAATGATTAAGTAGCCGTAATACAGATAGACATGTAATTTCAAAAGGGGGTGAATTGGATGCTTAATGTCTTTAAACCTCCATTGAAGACAAATACAATGCCAGGACAGAAAACCATTTCAACACCTCTCTTATTATTGTATTGTTAACTTTGACAAACCAAGCTACAAAAACCGAATCTATTCTCAAATAATGTAATGACAAGAAATTCAAAACCCTAAGCTTTATTCAAGCAACACAGCAGGCTCTTTTATATTCCATAGTCCTGTTATGGTGATTGCATCCAACACCTCCGACAAGAGCCAATCACTGGGAGCTGTTTCCGACTGAGGCTAAGGCTGAGGATAAGGGTTCCCATTATCACCAAAACCCTTAGGACCGGCTGCATTTCCCATTAATCATAACAGGGAAGTCAGATTAAAGTGTGCTACATATGGTCAAGTGATTTCTCCTGGATCAATTCACACAATGTATAGTGCCCAAGTTTTGTGATTAATGTGTGAGCCAAATTGTCTAATATGTGTAGACAAGATCAATTTGTTACTGTTAATTAAAGATTTACCCAGGACCAAGTAAATATAGCATTTATCAGTTAAAGGACAGATATTCTACTCAGGCTTTGGTAGTTACCCATAAATAGAGCTAAACCATCACCCTGTGACGGTATCACTGTCAAGACGCCATTTTGAACCATTTTTGATGGCACTTCCGATTGTTTTTCATATTCATTTTGACCTTAACTACACATCTGTATTGTTTAGTGACTGTATCTTACATCATTGTAAAAAAAGTCAATCAAAGAACTAGATTCCTATACCGGATCTCCTCTCTGGTAAACAAAAACACCCTGAAAACTCTGGCAGGAGCACTCATTCAAGGGTACTATGACTATGCTTGCACGTCATGGTACCATAGCACCTCCAAGGCACTAAAAATAAAACTTCAAACATCGCAAAATAAACTGGTCAGACTACTGCTTGACCTTTCATCTAGAACCCACCTCACCTCTGCCCACTTTGACAACCTAGGATGGCTTAGAGTAGACGGCAGAGTATAGCTATTACAATGGGCCTGGTCTACAAGATCCACTACACCTCTATGGTACCCATGTACATGTCAAAATTATTCCCAAAGGTCAAGGAATACCATGATCATAACACCAGAGGGAGCTCCACAAATCATGTGAAACCCAGATTTGGCACAAAAAAGGGGGAATACACGTTTCGCAATTATGCCACATCAAGGTGGAACGCTCTTCCCACAACTGTAAAGCAAAGTAAAACTATACTTACCTTCAAAACCTCTCTTAAAGAGCACCTTCGGGGGAGAGCATCGCAAAACTGGCCCCGGTAATGGTACAAATCTCAACCTGTCGTTCAATGGACAGCTTCCCCCCCCCCCCCCCCCCATCTATGTATATACTCGCATTTTAGACTCTGTTACTAACTGTATATCTGTAGACTTGGTATGTCTTAAATGTCCGGTTAGGATGTATTAGAACGAAATCTAAAATGAAAATTGTAAACAAGCAATCTGTATGTAAAAAAAACACCTGTATGTAAATTGTAAATAAGCCATCTGTATGTCAAATATGTCTTATATGTCTTAAATGATATGATGAATTGGAAATGGGGGACCCTGATGTAAACAAGACGAAAGTCTTTCTCTGGTCTGCATCCCCTTAACAATTGTATGTTTTGAGCTGTACTGTACTGTACCCAATATACAAGCTGTTAATAAACTTTTCAATCAATCAATCAATTGTGATGTAATTGCGGTCACACAAACTGTACACAGACACACTCGTAAGGTGAAAAGAAGAGAACTTCTTGCGGCTTGTAAAGAAATAGAAACATTTACCCAGAAACAAGCAACTGGTGCATACACATTTTTGTGAAAAGCTTAACTTACAATTTAGTTTTACTGGAATATCACTTTCTATACGATATATCACTTTAATGTATTTCAATTTGTTTTGGGGCCTTTCAGAGAGATCATAATATTGTCATTCTATCTTGTGCACTGCTGTGTCTGGTGTACTGGTTAATAGACAAATAATTTATAAGCAAAACACGGAATTAGAAAATTATGTATTTTTAACCACATACAGCATTGTACGAACAATTTAGAGCCACCCCTATTATCTGGACAACTTGTAACATTTAAGATACATCAAAATAATAAACAGATCTGCAATTTGTTACAGACTTTCTTTATGATCTTTAAATACAACTCGCTGACTTTAAATTGGAAACTTGTTGAGGAATCTTATATTAAATTCAAATTTGTTTCCATCTCTGGAAACATCATACGTTAACGTCACCCACTACCCAAACACATATGACCATTTGACCTGTTTTCTCTTTCCTTAGTCATATTGGAAACACTTGTTCCACGGCACTTTGTCTTGACATATTCTGCCACAGAGAAGGGGGGAGGCTGTGAGCATTTTCACACTCCAGTTTCTAAGGTAATAAAAATGATGACGCTCACAGCCATTTGCTTCAGTGTCCTGCGCAGGCCAGCCTCATGGCTAACTGCACTGCCCAGCGCCCATCCCCCCACACTGTGCACACTGCCTGTCCCCGGCAGGATGAGCTGACTGTAAACCACACCAGGGCTATTGATTAATTAATGTACCCCAACTGCAGGCTTGGCTCCCTGCATAGTAGTGGAGCAGTTTTCAGCTGCCTGCAGTGGTTTGAGCCAGTCTGGTGTTCCTGCAGTGTTGAGGGGAGGAAAGGCAACAAATAAGAGGAGCAGAGCAGCAGACAACTGTGGATGGGAGGAAGGCGTCAGCACCATAGTCACCATTAATCACCAAAGGGCCATTGTGGTCCTGTCCTCTCCACGGCGCCAGCGCAGGCAGGCAGACAGAGATAAAGAAGAGAGGAAGAGGCAGAGGGACAGAGGGGGCAGGGTGGCTGCAGGGAGGAAGAGGGGGAGAGAATGGTTGGGGATCAGCCTGTATGTCCATCTCAGCCCCTGCTGCGGGGCGCTCTGCTGCTGTCTCAGTGTCTGTCCTCCGTCTTCTCCCAGGTCCCGGACCCTGAGGTAAGAGCCTGATACTGCACCATGTCCTCCACAGGTCCCCTCTGAGGATGGTCTATCCTGAGGGGTTTCTGTGATGGGTGCAGGTGTTTGCCGTTTATAAGGTTGATTTATGTCATTTCTACTTGTTGTTTGGTTGCCTGAGCGGTTGCTTGTGTTATTGATGAAAAGAGAGGGAACATTTGTAGAAACCTGATACATTATATAGTCTTACATATAGCCGAGACACGTGTTTTTTATGGGTGCAAGCAAGAGGATAACATGACGAGTTGTGCTACCACAAGTTGTTTTGAAGGGGGTTACATTGTAAAGAATTTGACTACTACAATGATTTGACTTCAAACAAACCATGAAATGATTCTGCCTCTGAAAAATAGACAATTTGGCTACTCACCCATGTAGAAACAGGACTCAAAATATAAAATACTATATTATTATTACTGACTAAAGAGTCTAATATATAAGATTTTATTAAAGTAAACTAGAATCTGTGGCTGTATAATGAAACAAACTATAGACACTTCAGGAAATATAATCTAAATGTGGTAAGCATGGCACACAATTGCAAATATCCAGTGTAAAGTAATCTTATTGTGAGTCAATGTTTTGTAATTGGTGTTTTTATAATACACGTGTCATAACTAAAC